CTCGCCTCCCAGTGCTAGCAGCAGCCCACGAGCATCTGCTCTAGCAGCGCTGCCGCCAGCATGCGAGTGCCTGAATGAGGCTGCCTGGCCAGAGCGTTTTTTCCTTTATGGAAAAGAGCTGGCCAGCTCTCGCAGCCTGGCTGGGCTGGCCTGGGCCCAGCAGCTTCCGGAAGGCCCCAGGATGTTGTCTGGATGCAGCAGCTACTGGGCTGCTGGGCCTCGTTCGGTTGGGCACCCAACTGTCTCTGTATGAGGCTGCGAATCACGCCCAGGGCCTGCATTCTTTGGAAAGGCCCGGTAGGCCGTGGAAATGTCTTCGGTACTCGGCCTGTGTTTCTTTCAACCAACTGGCGCGTCGCAACTGCCTGGACCCCAAATATGAAATTGACAGTCGAGGGCCTCTTGCAAAAAGCCAGGCCCGCCTTCACTTAGGGCGGGCACCTCCGCCTTCACCAGTCGAGGCTCCCGTACGATCGAATGAATCGACTGCCATGCTCAAGCTGACCAAGACCTTGGTTAGTCTAATTCAGGAAAGCAAAAAGGAGCAACGAGAGCAAAAGGCTTGGTTGGAAGCCATGATGAGAAACATGCGGCCCATTGCGGTGCGTGCCCCTCCGATTCAGCAAGGGTTAGCCCCAGCACCCGCTCTTGGAGGAGTCGCAAGCAACCTAAACGTCTGTTATGCATGTCATCAGCCTGGACATCTAGCCCGTGATTGCCCTCACAGGCCTCTGCAACAGCGCATCGGGGTCGCGCCGATGGCTGCGGCCCCCATCGCTAACGGACCAGGACGAGTAGGAGCTTTGATGGAAGAAGTAGACAGTGGGGGGAGTGCCTTAGCCACCACGGAAGAGGCCGCCGAACTAATCCCGTTAGATCAGTACGTATCACTTGGTTACCCCGGGCTTGGAATGATCGGAACGATCATACCAGCACCAGAACAGAAAGAGATGGCCGAGTGGCGACCTTCTCCAGGAGAGATGGAGTTGGGAGGACCCACCTTCGTCACCGGGGAAATCGATGTGCTGAACATCATTCGAGCCCTGGACCATCGGATTCCGCTCCCGATCGGTCATTTGCTTTCGATCTCGGAACAAGCTAATGAGCGAATGCTACAGCACTGCAAGGCGAATCGAAAACGATTCGCCCTCGCGCGAACACCGAACGTAAAGGCCAAAAGCCCCTCGCCAGAAGAAAATATGGCAGGCTCGTCGGATCCAATACGGGTAGGATTAATACTAAAAGACGATCATTTCCTACGAATTAAACCCATCCCGTGGAAATCTACGGAGTGCGATATTGAAATATGGGGAATTCCGTACAATGCAATCATCGACCCGGCAGCCGCTGTTTTGGCTATCTCGCTGAGAGTGGTCGAAAGGGCAGGTAGGAAAAACGATCTGATCATGCTTTCTGAGAAAGATCAGCTCGTTTCGGCTGACGAAGAAAAGATTAAAACAGTGGGAAGAATGACCAATGTCGCCTTTCGACTAGGAAAGGTGCATGCACTGGGAGATGTTGTCGTGCTAGATGTGAATACCTACAACGTTCTTTTCGGACTTCCTGCTCTAGTGGCGCTACGAGCAAACCTGGATTTCGAACGACGATCGATCGTCCTCTGAAATACAGGAGAAAAACACTATGCGGTACCTATGAGACTAACCCTTCGTACCACCATCAACGCAGTCCCGCGGGTTTCGTCGATGATGGCAGAGACTCTCCGCATGATCTCCTGGGATGAATCCGCAGATGGAAAGTCATCGACGAATGATGCGGACAACAGTGATGAGGATGACCCGGAGATCTCGAAGCTAGCACGACAGTGTGTTTACTACCCGCCACCCAGAACGATAGCAAGAACGATGCATCTGACCAGTAGAAACGTCCAAAGGACCAAGGCGATGATCTTGGGTGAACCCCTCGTGCAGATTTCGAGGATGGTCGATTCTTTGGAACCCCCTCAAACCCTGTACGAAGGGATCACCCCGCTTCTCTCCCGATACAGCGACAAAAAGCACTACTGCGACATTACAGATCTACCAAGGTCCCTTTTGACACCTACCAAAGAAGTGCGATTGTTACGCTTAGGGGCGGAAGCAAGTTCTCTGGAACCCCCTGGGCGTCTCGAAGCAGAAACGGACAAACTGGGGATAAAGATCGCAACTAAGGACGTGCCATGGCAAGATATTTTTGACGGGATTACCCCGGAAGGACACGTGGCAATCCGGGAAGAAGATGCCCAGATGATGGCCACGGTGTTCTCTTGGCGATCGGATCACTCCTTCATTTTTGCACCCCCGCTTGATGTGGCGAAACCTGCACACACAAAACAGATAGATGTACGGATCTGGGATCAACTTTTTGAGTTACACGTGCCACAGTACGTACCCGATGAAATTCATCGGGTGATTGCAGACATTTTGACGGAATATCGGGGAGCGATTAGCGTGACAGACACTGACATTGGCCTGTTGCAAGTTATTCAACACGAAATACAGACGGGAAATCACTCCCCGATCCATTGTAAACCGTACCGATACTCCCTGATAGAACGCAAAAAGGCCCTCGCGCGAATTCAAGAATTTGAAACCTGCGGATGGATTGAACCCGCCACCGGACCATGGTCATTTCCCGTTGTACTAGTGCCAAAGAAAAACGGATCAATCCGCATATGCATCGATTATCGCAAGCTGAATGAGATCACGATCAAAGATGTGTACCCCCTCCCCCGAATTGATGATTTGTTGGATGCGATTGGCTGCGCCAAATATTTCAGCAAGTTTGATATTCGGCATGGCTTCCATCACATTCTGGTGAAGGATGAAGATCGGTCGAAGACGGCCTTCGTGTTGTTTGAAGGCACGTGGCAGTGGGTTCGGTGTCCGATAGGGATTTGCAACGCGCCTGCCACGTTTCAGCGAGCAATGAACATGACATTCCAGAACTTCGTCAACAAGATGCGGCTGACACAAGGGATGATCAACTTCTGCGTGATCGTATACATGGACGATATCCTTGTCTACTCAGAGACCTATCACGGGCACGCGCAACACATCGAGTGGACATTGGGAGCGCCGAGAGACGCTGGGTTCAAGATCGCGCTAAAAAAGAGCGAATTTTTCCTTTCGAAAATTTCGTTCTTGGGCTATGTCGTGACACGTGGAGGACTGCGACCGGACTCCAGAAAGGTTGCGGCGGTAAGAGAAGCTCCAGTTCCCACGTCGCTGACGCAGGTTCGAGCCTTCTAAGGGTTGGCATCGTACTATCGTCGCTTCATCAAGGGTTTCGCCGCGATTGCACGACCACTAACGAACCTGCTAAGGAAGGACCAGCCTCTCAGCTGGGACGCGAAGTGCCAACAGGCTTTCGCAACCCTCAAGGACGCTCTGGCGACGACCCCTATTTTGATTCGACCGGACCCCTCGAAACAGTTCATTCTCATCACGGACTGGCAACGGGAAGCTATCTCCACTATTTTAGCACAGAAGGGGAACGATGGTCGTGAACACGTCATCGAATACGCGTCACGCACGATACCGGACGAACGGAGGAATGACTCGGCACCTCAAGGCGAATGCTATGCAGCGGTCTGGGGAATCCAGCACTTCCATCCATATCTCTACGGAAAGAAGTTTCGCCTAGTGACGGATCACGAGCCTCTGGTAGCTTTGAAGAAGCTCACCAACTACACGGGCATGATTGGCCGTTGGGCGGTGCGGCTGCAAGAATACGAATTCGATATCGTCCATCGAAAGATGGAGCGACACGGCAACGCGAACGGGCTGACACGTCTGCATCGACCTGCCAAGGTACCAAAGGGCGAGGAAATTACACCGTGGAAAGAGTCGGACCTAACCCCACTACCCCTCTCTATCCCCTGTCCTCCTCGTCTCTCCTCTCCCTGCCTGACAAATTTTGCTATTTTTGCGAAGCTATCTCCCGCGTACACTCGGTCTCCATGCGTCCTAACGGGGAAGGGTACGTTGATTGGATAGATTGCCGACAGTGTGTTGCACGAGCCCACGGCTCGTGCATCCAATACAGAAACGATAGTAAACCATGGTTGTGCCCCTTGTGTCGGACCGACAAGATCCCGACCGAGGCTCGCTTTTTGGATGCCACGTCAGAAGGGTTGGAAAAGACCCGAAGGTTTAGAAGGGCCGAAGTATGGACTGATATCGCCTTGATTGCCACCCTGGTTGGCAACCCCCTCCAGGATTTCACCAAGGAGGATCGGAGGAGGGCCAACAAGAGGGCTCGCGATTACAGATGGATAGAGGGCAAATTAGAAAAACGGAAAACTGACGGCAGTGGGATTTGGATGGTTGTACCGCATCCGTTCATGAGGTATGACTGGGTTAAGACGGCACATGAAGAAACTGCGGCTCATTTCGCCATACGTATCACAGAGTCAGCTATCGACAAAAATGAGTGGTACTGGTCCAATATCCGCGACGATGTAAAGTACATCGTCGCCAACTGTCAAGTCTGCGACGCTGATAAAGCGCCGATTCAGCCGCCAAGATCGATAGTACCAACGGTAGTTGAACGGCCATTTCAAAGAGTCAGTATGGACACTACCGACATAGTAGTGCCCCCTGGTCCTAATAGTTGTGAGTATTCAGTCCTATTGGTATTTGTCGACCATTTTTCGAAATGGATCGAAGCCTACCCTTGTCGCACACAACAAGCCGCCGAAATCGCGCGATACGTCAACCGCTTTCTCGGGATGCACCAGGATACGGAAGAGATCCTGACCGACAATGGGGCTGAATTCAGGGGAGAAGTGCTAAGGAATCTGGTCTTACATGGCGTCGCCATACGGAATACTGCACCCCACATGTCGCAATCCAAGGGGCTGGTGGAAAACGCGAACAGGGTGATAAAGACGGCATTGCGGCGGAATATCGAGGCACGAGATCCGAGGCCCTGGCCCGATATCGTCGACCACATCCTAGCGGTCCATCGCGGTACACCTCATGAATCGACGGGGCTAAGCCCCTTCCAATTGAGGACCAATAGCGTCGCTTGCGTTTCGATACCAAGCCTACTGGATGAATCCACACTGAACCGACGACCCACCAGGGCCACGGCTTGGGACAAGGCCAAACGACACTTGGAACTACTGGAACGGTCCTTGCCCAGGCTAGCCCGAAAACGGCACACGATGACCGAATTGGCCCAAGGCCGACAGGTCCGAAGCTATGAGGCCCGGAATGGGAACGCACGACCACGGCCCCAGTACAAATTGGGGGACATCGTGCAGGTGAGGAAATGTGCTCGCCAGGGTAAGCTAGCGCCACGATTCTTCGGGCGATTTTGCGTAATCGAACTCGGACCGAACGGCGTGAACACCGTGCGGCTTGCACCAGAGGTCTCCGACAGCCGATCGGCTCGCCCAATCATCCGCCACGTGTCCTACCTCCGTCTCCTTCCTCCCTCTCCATCTTCGCATTCACCCGATTCCTCCTCCACTGCGGAGGAAGGCGACGACTACCTCTCTCCTAAATCTCCGTCTCCTTCCTATTCTCTCTCTCTTACCCCGTCACCATCGCCATGAGCTTTGCAACAGAGCAAGTGATCGGCGCACGGCTTCTTACTCCGCGGGGGCGAATCAGCGTCATACGCCAGGTGCAGCGACCCCATCTCTGCTATGATCTCCTCCGGTTTGCAGCTTTCTTCAGTACGTTGGCGATCTACACAGTGGCAGAGTTCCGATTCACGGAAGAGGCAACTACGCGCGTTCTGGCCGAGATCTCGGCCTTTCGACGGCTATCCCCTCCCGGGATTAGCCATATCGCCGTCGTCGTCGTCTTTACAGGAGACATCACTGCGATTCCGCCAGAGATTCACTCCGACATCTATCGGACGTTGCGCGTCTGGGCTGGGAAAGTGCGGACAGCGTGGACCGATCTCCTTTGCTCGGCGAGGAGACACCGTCGTGCCGGTGCACGACACGGACCTCCAGCTTCGCTTGTCTCGAAGCTCGCCAGTGGTCGCGCTCCCGGAGCTTCGTCCCTTCACGCCGCCCCAATGAGTCATCGTCGCGTCTCCTACTTCGACCTCCCCTCCAGCATCCCCACCCTTTGGCAATCTGCGCGGGCTCCTACTCTCTCCTACCGTGTTAAGGAGAACAGTGCGCCGCTATTGAGCGAGGAAAAGTGGGACGCGTGGTGGGAAGACTATATCGAGCTCGCTTTCTGTCTATTGGAGATAGAGTTCCGTTGGTCAGAAGCGGCCCTGTTCGGAGAAGGTCCAGAGCACCCAGAGGACAGTGTGGAGCTTCTGATAATCCAAGCCTGGAGAACGGCGGAGCAAGGTGACCTGCTGGGAATTGTATTCGGAAAGGTGGAGGAAGGTAATCTCGCCTGATCACGAACAAATTGCTGGTGTTTCTGACTCAGATGGTGGACGATCTGCCCCTGGACATCGTATCGCACAGTGACAAGCAGCCTGGCACCCACGTATTGTCTCGAACGCTCGAGCCGCACCTTGTGTGGTCCACGTGTACGGAGATTGACGAGGACAATTGTCTCTATCCTTCCCAGGCGCTCTACCTGGAGATCGACGTTACCGATCTCACGTTTTGGGACCTGATTGCGAGGCAAAACGCGGCGCAGGACGAGGAGATAGAGGGAGCAGACGAAGAGGAGGAAGAGGAAGAGCCATCGAGCGAACAACGAGATGATCCAGACTACGTACCAGAAAGCGAAGCAGGGATAGTCGACGAATCGAGCCAACCTCGGGACGAGGAAGAAGAAGAAGGAAACAAGCAAGCGGAGTCGGAGTTCGAAGGATTCGAGGCTGAAGTGCGTGATGCGGCTCGAGAAAGAGCGCAAGAGCACAGAAAGCGAAAGCGCTAGGAGACCACAGAGGGAAAGCGACCTGCGACAAACGATCCGTCGATCGGGGACCCGTGGCGTGATCCGGAGCCGCCAGAAGAAGAGGACGATGGAACCAGAGCGGAGGGATCACGAAGCAGAAGAAGAAAAAGTGAATCGCCAGTTCCCTCCGGCTCCCCGTCCCGATCCTCCATTCGTTTACATCACGATCTCGGCGTTCGGGCTTCGTCCCCGGTCGTTCTCTCGCCGACCCCGTGACTACCTTATGCTTACCCGTCTTCCCGATAGACCCCCATTTCTGTGGTTGATTCCTTTTTACGGCGTTGGTATTACAGGGACGGGGACACTCGGGATCTCACTTGGAACGGGTCGTTTAGGGGCTATCTGTTCCATGTAGGTGACAGGACCCGACACAAACCCCATGTTTTCGAATTTGTTTTGCAGCGCAGCCAATTCGGCTTTTGCCCTTGCGAGTTCAGACGAATCTCCTTCCCTAAAATAGTCCTCTCCTTCCAGGAAGTTCGCCGCGAACTTTCGTTCCATGTCTTCTGCAACGTCCATGATTTGTTATAATGTATGATTGATGGGGGAAAACTGCTTCCGCAGCTTCGACCTTATTGTTCGGCTGCGGAGTCCGTCTATGAACAGATCTCTCCCTACTTGCTCCCCTCGCTCAGTTTTTACAAACATTCGATAGAATCGGTTTCGATACTCCGCAACGGACTCGACAGGTTTTTGCACTCGATCCTTGATCATGTAAAGCGCTTGTTCTGGGTGAACGTAATCAAATCGGTTCAGAACGTCTCGTTCGAAGGTCTGAAGATCTACCCACACATAGGTACTAAACCAGTGATGAGCGTCTCCTCCCAATCGAGCGGGGATGTTTACCAGAGCTTCGTTATCATCATACTGTTGTGCTCGGAGCATAGCCAACCATGCTCCTGCAAGGTGGTGCGCAGGGTCAAACAAATATAGATCAGGTGGCGTCATGGGAGCCCGTGCATGTGGGGCGGGTTGATTAGGATTTGGTTGATTGGCATTTTGTTGCGGATTTGGTACATTGGCAGACATGTGGGCTGCTCGTCGACTAGCTGATCTGCTCCGGGTGACGACAGGGTCGCGTCTATGCGCGTTCCGGGGGCGAGGCCGCCCTCAGTTAGCCAGATCGCCTAATTATCGTGCTATCGATCCTAAGACCCAGCCACGTGTCGGGCTCCGATACCAACCTCACGCCCAACGCGACTTCCTGATCGGAGTAGGATGTGGGCCTGGAAGTGCGAAAAGGGGTGTGCCAAGGATTTTTGGGTAAAGTGGGGGAGTCTTAAGGGTATGAATGCAATTAGGCAAGCAAGGGGCGCGTGGGACTCAAGGCCCGACGGGGCCGGGGTACTGTGGACGGCGGTTTGCGGTGAAGTCCCTTCTCGGCGGGGGCGGTCCCGAAAAGTTGGAACGTCGGGGGCCGCTGCGTATTTGGGTTGGGGCTTCCGAGTTCCGGGGTTCTCCGTTCGCCGCTACGTCGGCAATTCCCGCAGGGCGTGCTGGGCCAATAGGGGGCTATGCCCGGCCACAGAACGACGATGAGTTGATGATACGGGAGAAGAAGGCGAAAAGGAGGGAAACTGGTGGTGATGACGACAAATCCCGAGTGGATGAAATCGTAGGTATGGTCGGGGGAAGGGAAATCAGAGCACCGGGGGTCGCTAGAGGTGGCGCAGTGGAATTCCCGCGGACATAGTTGATTCTCTGTGTGACAGGGGTATCGCAGCCTTAGGAGTTCGTTTATCCAAGGGGTGAARTAATCCGGATCGTAGGATGAGTCTGAGCTCCAAGATCGCGTCATGGTGTCATCGTGTATGGGATAGCTCTGGTCGGGTTATCGTCACCGCGCACGAGCACGTGTAGGACAGGCGAACTTAGTTGCGCCTCAGCGTGCTCGTACGGGATGATGGTTTCGCCGCGAATCTTTTTGGATGGACGGATCGACGCACGGGGATGTGTGTAACGCGCGATTCGGATCGTGTTTACACGTGTCCTCGCGCGGCGTTCGCAGGGCTCGAGTGTCTAATGGCTCTATAGGTTCGATTATGCGAGATGCGGCCACACCACAATCTAAGCAACAACGAGAACAAAATCACTATCGGGGCCAAGTTCTTATCCCCTCTACAACTGTATCAGGTGCAGGCAAAGATTCGACACAAACAAAAGCAAGGACAAGGATTTTCAGCAAAAGATAGACAAGCAGGCATAGCATCCATACATCCATACGTTCAGTAATCATACATATAATGCAATCGGGACGAAAATCGCGAAGACAAGTGTGAGCAAAAACCCAAGTCCTGATTCCATAAAGCCGAGACGAAAACAAGAACGGGCGACCGCTCGGAGCCGCAATCAAAATGCATGTACACAGATGAAGAGGGGGAAGAGACAAAGAAACAGCAAATCTGCGTCCATCGACCTCAACTCTCTCTCCTCTTCTCTCTCTTCTCCGATGCGGACAGTCCGTCGTCACGCACCAACCCACGAAGTCGTCACCCCGCTTAGTTCTCCCGCACCCGTCGGATTCGCTCATGCCCATAGTCCGTCGTGGCCCACGTCAATCCCGCGTGTTCAGCACCAGCCCGTCGGGTCGCCCAACTCCTACTCTACTCACCTCTTACTTCGCTCGTGTGCCGACCCTTCTTGATCGCGCAACCCAGAGCTTCCAACAACGGGTTAAGAGAGCTAACTAATCGCGCAGCAGGAATTTATAGCGTGCATGCATGCGCGAAGAACACGGAATTACCAAGACTTAGAGGGGAGATTAGAGAGGGAGTGCCTACGTTCTGCATGACCGGGCCGCGGCATGGGGGACGTAGCCACTCTCCACGCATCGATCTGAGCATGCAGTCTGTAGTTTCAAAAACGCCGCAAAAGAAAGAAAAGGAGGGCGGGAAGGACGAAGAGCAAGAAGAAAGATACAGTTACAATGGCGCCAACCCAAGATTACAGTTACACACCCGATTAAAGGCGCCGACTAATCAGAATTCCATTGCAGCCGCAAAAAGAAGCGCGTAAGCAAATAAGGGCGCCGCGCAGCAAGAGAAAGTCCTAATTACAAAATTCCTAAATTCCTATCTAATGCGAAAAGCAAAAGTACAGGTTCCGGGAGGAAAATCCGAAATTCCGAGAGCCATCAGTGCTCGATAAAATTCGAAAAAGATTTGAAAGAAAAATTCAAAAAGAACAGTGCAAATTCCCGCGCGATGTCCGCGCCCAAAAGATCGAAACCGAAGCGAAAGAAACGACGTCAACATTTATTAATCGCGCGCACGGAGGCGCGCCAGCCATCCAGCCGACCAATCAATCGACCAGCCATCCCAGGACACGCCCAGCTCCGAACCCAGCCAAAGAAGCGACGGAAAAGACGAAAAAGCAAGGACACTGATGCAATTTCCCACCGATCCTGATCTCCCGTAATTGGCCCAACCTTCCCAGCTTAGGACCCCTCGTTGCAATCACACAGAAAATCGCGCGTTACAGAAAGTGGTTCGTCACATGTGCCTTGGGTTAAGATCTATAGGATGTCTCCAGGTGAGCTAGATGAGCTCCGGTGACAACTAAAGGAGCTTAGTAAGAAGGGATGAATACGGCCGAGTACATCTCCCTACGGTGCACCCGCACTTGTCGTTCCTAAGGAAGAGGGGACGTCGAGGATGTACATTGATTATAGGCCTCAATGCCATCACTGTGAAGAACGCAGAGCCTCTACCCCACATTGATGACCTCTTGGATAGAGTTCAGGAATGTAAATACTTCAATACGATAGATCTGAAGTCCAGGTATCATAAGATGCAAATTAGGCTAGAGGATCAACACAAAACTGCTTTTTAAACGAGGTGCGGTCTGTACGAGTTCGTGGTGACGCCATTTGGTCTATGAATGCACCCGATACATTTCAGCATGCAATGAACCGAATTTTTCATGACTATTTAGGCAAGTTTATATTCGTGCAACTCGACGACATACTCGTCTTTAGTAAGAGTCTGGAGGAGCACGTGCAACACTTAGATGTTGTGCTAGGCCCTCTCCCGAAGCACAAGTATATAATCAACCTGGAGAAAGGTGAATTTGGTTGCACCAAGATCTTATATTTGGGTTACGAGATTTCCGAGGAGGGATTGATGCTTGAGGATGCGAAGGTGGCCACCATAAATGACTAGGATGACCTGCTATTATCATCCGTTCATAACGAACTATAGCATGATCACAAGCCCCTTGACCAATCTTGCCCGCCCTGACACCCCATAGGAATTGACAACTGACTGCGAGCATGCCTTCAGAAGGTTGAGGTACACTTTGACTCATCACGAAGTTCTGAAAATCCCAAATCTTGACACTTCGAAGTGAGATTTGACCATGAGACTCTCCAATGGATCAAGACACAACCCCCTCTCTCTGGTGTGTTGAAGAGATGGATTCAAGTCATAGATATGTACGACTTTCACCTTCAACATCTCAAAGGCGAGTTTAACAAGGTTGTTGATGCACTTTCGGGGACGGTAGACTACCTAGGTGTGCTAATTACAGAGTATGGCTTATCTGGCGATGTATTGGTGGATGCGTAGAAGGAGGACAGATTTATGTCTGAGATCATTCGCAGACTCGAGGTGCAAGACAAAGCTACATCGGCCGAGTTTGTGTTGGTCGAAAGGCTACTCTTCCTTGAGACGGTCAAAATAATAGGTCGTGTCACGAGTAGCTAGTCTTTGCGCAGTTTATTCTTAGGAGAGTGTTATGATGCAACATGCCACTTCGGTTACAAAAAGAAGTCAGCCAACTTACTAGAGCGATTTTGGTGGCCTATGATGCAAGACGACGCTAAGAAATACGTTGAGACGTGCCAAGTTTATCAAAGAGACAAACCTAGGACTCAAGCTCCTCTAAGGCTCCTGCAAGAGCGGGAGAGAGTCTGTCCATGGACTTCGTGAATACTCTTGTGACCAGCAAGTCTAGCAAGTGGCACATATATGCTGCGTTATTTTTCCGGATATCCGCATGGCCCTTGACCATCCGGTTCATCCGGCCGGAAAATAAACCTCGGAAGAACCTGGAAATGACCCTTCTGGGGCCTGCCCAAAATAGGTGCAGGGCCATTTCCACGGTTTTAGGGGTGCGTAGGGGTTGTGATTGACCCCTGGGACCCTGGCGCGGTGGCGGATCCAGTAAGGGCCCTACCGGATTTGGAAAAAAAAAACCCTGATATGGGTCGTCGATCCACTAATATCGACGACCCAGATCAGGCCATTTTTTAATTTGAATTCGCGCTCGAGGGGTTTCCGACTGCGCGTGGGTAGTGGCCCGGCCTGGCCATTCCTCCCCAGCAACGGCCCGGTGCCCTGTCGCCACGATGCTTGCTGCTCGCCTGCCGCCCCGTGTGTTCCCGTTGACGGCCCGTTGCCTCGCTGCCCCGCTGCCCCGCTGCCCCGCCGCTGTGCTGCTCCTGTCTCTTATACACATCTAGATGTGTATAAGAGACAGGGGTTTCCGACTGCGCGTGGGTAGTGGCCCGGCCTGGCCATTCCTCCCCAGCAACGGCCCGGTGCCCTGTCGCCACGATGCTTGCTGCTCGCCTGCCGCCCCGTGTGTTCCCGTTGACGGCCCGTTGCCTCGCTGCCCCGCTGCCCCGCTGCCCCGCCGCTGTGCTGCTCGAGCCATCACCGCCGCCGCTAGAACCTTCACCCAGAGCATCGTCCTCCTCCTGCATCGATATCGAGGTGAGGTTACGCCCACCCTCCCCCTTCACCCACCTCCACTACCACCTCCTCCTCCTCCTCTTCCTCATTCTCCTTCTCGTCCTCCTCATCTTCCTCGTCTTCATCTTCCTCCTCTTCCTCCTCATCCTCGTCCTCGTCCTCCTCGTCTTCTACTCCTTCCTTTGTCTCCTCCTCCTCTCCGTCATCCTCCTCTTCCTCCTCGTCCTCTTCGTCCTCCTCCTCTTCCTCCTCCTCCTCCTCCTCCTAATCCTCCTCGTCCTCCTCCTCCTTTCTGTGGAGGCTCTCGGCGATACTGACGCGCACATCGTTCGTCAGACTTCGGTATAGGGGCAACAGAGTAATTGAACCGTCTAATAGGTGGTTCCCTCCGAAGTTTCCTTCAGGAAAGTTGAGGAGGGGGAGAAGGAAGACGAGGAGGAAAGGGACGAGGCCGAAGAGGAGGAGGAGGCAGAGGAAGACGAGGAGGAAGAGGAGGAGGAAGAGGAGCAGCTGGGCAATGAGGCAGAGGCAGAGAGAGGTGCAGACTTCAGCACAACCCCCTCCCACAGTTCAGCAGGTCGCTCCCACATACGCAGAGCCCCCTCCCACATTTGAGAGCATGGAGGCATAGAGAGAGTCGACAACGATGATGGAGGGAGCATTGCCGCTGCAACGTCTTCCGCCACACTTCGACCCAAGTCATTCTATACGGCTCCTCCGCTGCCCGTCTTGCAACGTTCTGTTGTGGTGTGGAGACCCGAACTGACCATCCCTGCATACATCTTCTCATGCGGCCACGACTATAGCCGGACGATTATCATCATCCACGAGCAGTGTAGTTGTACGTTCACACGGTGGCAGTGGTGGTCCGTCGATGCCTCCACTTGCTCGTGATCATTCACAGCCTGTGCGCAAGGGATCCGTCATTTCATCTGCAGTTCCTCCACTCCCCGCCCGAGTGTCATCTGTCATTGTTGACAACACCACGACGAGAGGGAAGAAGAGGAAGACCACTGATACATGTGTGGTACGTCATTCACGAGCACAGAGACCTCTAGGAGGAGGTAGACCACGCGGGCTCCCCCCCCGGGGTCAATTTGGCCGGGATAGAGGGAGGCAGGGTGTCGCTGGAGCGACGGAGAGGCTGTTGGGTTCATTGAGTGCCATCGGTCGAGGTTCACCATCACCCATATCCGCAGATAGAGTGAGGACTCGATCCCGTGCTGCTATGGGGAAGAGGACGCATGCTGATGTGGAGGATGATGACGGCACCGATGAGCAGGCCAGCAGTGACCGGTCTGAGAGCGAGTACGAGGCTCCACCGCAGCCCTCATGTGACGATGACGACGATGACTCCGGAGGGGCGATGATGATGCTACGGCAGAGGACGAGACACTGGTTGATGGGTGCTGATGTGTGTGTGTGTGTGTGTGTGTGTGTGTGTGTGTGTGTGTGAGAGAGAGAGAGAGAGAGAGAGAGAGTTGCGGGTGAGGTATAAAAAGGAGACATAGAGACACACGCGTCCCACTTGTGCATTCATACCTCTTTTGTAGTTGACATGGTCACAGTGCGCCTCATGTGATCCGCTCTGTTCATATTGGTGATTCGATTATGCTTCTGGTGTGTTGATTGACCATGGTCTGTTGAAGTTTTTATATGTGTGTGTGATTGTGAGTGTATGGGTGTGTGTGTGCGTGTGTGTGTGCGTGTGTATGTGTGTGTGTGTGTTTATGTGCGCGCGTGTGCGTCCCCCCCCCC